GACATCAATCTAACTGCGAATGAATTGGAGTGTGAATGAGCCTCAGTAGTACGAGCGCGTCTCTGTGCATGAGCCTGGGGCCTCCTGGGGCCTCCTGAAACCTACTGGGGCTTCCTGGGGTCTCCAGGAGCCTCTTGGGACCTCCTGGGACCTCCTAGGAAGGTTTCGTGCCCCAGGAGAGGCGCAATCTATAGCAACAGACGTACATAAAACATTGCGGATTAGAGCCACAGGAGAAGGGCAATCTATAGGAACACGCGTAAAACACCAAGGACTCGTGCCCCAGGAGAGGCCCAATACATAGGAACATGAGTAAAACATTTAGGATTGTGTACACAGGAGAAGGACCATCTATAGAAACATACGTAGAACATCAAAGAATCGTGCTCCAGGTGAGGCCCAATCGATAGGAGCATACGTAAAACACATAGGATTGGAGCCACTCCTGTTGCCTTCTGAGGCCTCCTGCTCCTGGGGCCTCTCGGGGCCTCCTGTTGCCTTCCGAGGCCTCCTGGCGCTTCCTGTTGCCTCCTGGGGCCTCCTGTGGTTTCCTGAGGCCTTCTGGAGCTTCCTGGGGCCTCCTGGAGCCTCTTGGGACATCCTGTGGCCTCTTGAGTCTTTCTGTGGCCTCCTGATGCCTCCTGGGACCTCATGTGGTCTCCTGGGGCCTCCTGGAGCCTGTTGGAGCCTCCTGTGGCATCCTGAGAAGAATCTGCGCCCACGAGCCTGGCCACCAAAACAAGCAAACCGATCGAGACATCCTCAAAATCTGGCCCACCTGGGGGGTGAAAATGAGCGCCTCGCTCGAGACATCCTCCAAATCTGCTCCGAAAGCGAATGATGTTGAGCCCAGAAACAAGCAAACCGCCTGAGACATCCCCACAAAATGGCCGCGAACGAGCCCGTGCAACCACCCCTGGCGGCTCCCCTTAGGGCCACGAGCCTGGCCACCAAAACAAGCAAACCGATCGAGACATCCTCAAAATCTGGCCCACCTGGGGGGTGAAAATGAGCGCCTCGCTCGAGACATCCTCCAAATCTGCTCCGAAAGCGAAGGATGTTGGGCCCAGAAACAAGCAAACCGCCTGAGACATCCCCACAAAATGGCCGCGAACGAGCCCGTGCAACCACCCCTGGCGGCTCCCCTTAGGGGTGCTGAAACCAGCGCCCCGCCTGAGACATCCTCACAATCTGCTCTCCAAGCGAAGGATGTTGGGCCCAGAAACAAGCAAACCGCCTGAGACATCCCCACAAAATGGCCGCGAACGAGCCCGTGCAAACACCCCTGGCGGCACCCCTTTGGAGCAAAACGAGCTCTGGCTCCGAAAGCGAAGGAAGAAACAAGCAAACCGCCTGAGACATCCCCACAAAATGGCCGCGAACGAGCCCGTGCAAACACCCCTGGCGGCTCCCCTTAGGGGTGCTGAAACCAGCGCCCCGCCTGAGACATCCTCACAATCCGCTCTCCAAGCGAAGGATGTTGGGCCCAGAAACAAGCAAACCGCCTGAGACATCCCCACAAAATGGCCGCGAACGAGCCCGTGCAAACACCCCTGGCGGCTCCCCTTAGGGGTGCTGAAACCAGCGCCCCGCCTGAGACATCCTCACAATCCGCTCTCCAAGCGAAGGATGTTGGGCCCAGAAACAAGCAAACCGCCTGAGACATCCCCACAAAATGGCCGCGAACGAGCCCGTGCAAACACCCCTGGCGGCTCCCCTTAGGGGTGCTGAGTATGAGCAAGTCTGTGTATGAGTAAGTCTGAATATGAGTCAGTCTGGGTATGAGTAGGTCTGTGTAGAGTATGTCTGAGTGTGAGTAAGTCTGAGTATGAGTAGGTCTGAGTATGAGTAAGTCTGAGTATGAGTAAGTCTGTGTATGAGTAAGTCTGAGTATGAGCAAGTCTGAGTATGAGTAAGTCCGACAGGAGGGGAGGAGGAAAGAGGAGGAGGAAGGAGGAGAGGGAGTAGGAGGCGTCCAAGTAATAACAAGAACCCCATCTTAGGATATGGGGAAATAAAGAGCGATCGGTAACGCAAAAAGCTCTTCACACCAAGGCTCCCAAGAGCGAACGGTGACGTAAACAAGCTGAGAAGACAAAGGCTCCCAGCAGAGAGCGGTGACGTAACAAGTTCCTGACACCAAGGCCCAGCCAAGGCTCAGGAACGGGCGGCAACGCAACAATCTCTGAACACCAAGGCTCCCAAGAGCGAGGGGTGACGTAACAAGCTCTCAACGCCAAGGCTCCCAATACGAACTGTGGTGTGAATAATTTCGGTTTATCTTTCTGAAACGCTCTTTCCGTTTCTGTGCCGGGGCAGGTAACGGAAAGAGCGAGGTACGAGCGATGATGTTGTGTTGGGCGGAGCCCGTTAGGGGGGGGCGTAGCGCGAGCGGATGAGTTCTAATGGCCGTTTTGGGGGTTATCCCTTGGGTTTTCGAATGTTTTTCTGATTTCCCAGACCCAGAAGAGCCCAAGACCGCCCAAGACCGACCAAGAGGCCCCCAAGAGGCCCCTAAGAGGCGCCCAAGGGGCGTCCCTAGAGGGCCCCAAGAGGCCAACATCATAGATTGTCAATAGAAGAACGTATATTTTTAGCTTATACGGCTTTTCGTCTTTCACGGCGTTGACGACGGCCCAAGAGGCCTCCAAGACCGCCCCAAGACGGCCCAAGAGGCTCCCAAGAGGCACCCAAAACTGCCCAAGAGCGCCCCCAGGCGGCCCAAGAGGCGCCCAAGACTGCCCAAGAGAGCCCCAAGACGGCCCCGAGGGGGGGACCACGAACCGCAAAGTCTAGCCTAGCGCCCCAAGACGCTCCCGGGAGGCCCCCACAGCCCCCCAAGAGGCCCCAAGAGGCCCCCAAGAGGCGTCCCACGAGGCCAACGGCAGGCCAAAATCATATGTTTTCTATGGCAAAACGTACATTCCTAACATACACGGCTTTTCTGCCTTTACAGCGTTGGCAGCGGCCCAAGAGGCCCGCAAGACCGCCCCAAGACGGCCCAAGAAGCTCCCAACAGGCCCCCAAAACTGCCCAAGAGGGCCCCCAGACGGCCCAAGAGGCGCCCAAGACTGCCCAAGAGGGCCCCAAGACGGCCCCAAGAGGGGGACCACGAACCCGACAATCTAGCCTTTCGCCCAAAGATGCTCCCAGGAGGCCCCCACAGACCCCCAAGAAACCCCAAGAGGCCCCCGAGAGGCCCCGAAGAGGCCACCAGGAGGGCCCGAAAAGGGCCCCATTAGGACTCCTTCGAAGGCCCAGAGACGTCAAAAGCGATCGGTAATGCAAAAAGCTCTTCGCACCAAGGCTCCCAAGAGCGAACGGTGACGTAAACAAGCTGATAAGACCCAGGCTCCCAGCAGAGAGCGGTGACGTAACAAGTTTCTGACACCAAGGCCCAGCCAAGGCTCAGGAACGGGCGGCAACACAACCATCTCTGAACCCCAAGGTTCCCAAGAGCGAGGGGTGACGTAACCAGCTCTCTTGGGACGCCTCTCTTGGGCGCCTCTCGGGCCGTCTCGGAAGCCTCTTGAGCCGTCTTTGGGCCGTCTTGGGCATGTTTGACCGTCTTGGAGCCGTGTTGGACCCCTCTTGGACCGCCTTGAGCGCCCAAGACGGCCCAAGAAGCGCCCAAGAGGCCTCCAATACGCCCCGAGCGGCCATTAGACCGCATCCCTCCGCTCCTCCCCCCTCCCCTGGACCCCACCCTAGAGGGGTTCGCCCAAACACGACGTCATCACTCATACCTCGCTCTTTCCGTTACCTGGGGCCGGCACGGAAACGGAAAGAGCGCTGCAGCAACCTGCCCGAGATGGCTCATGGCACCCTTCGCTCTTGGGAGCCTTGGTGGTAAGAGCTTGTTACGTCACCGCTCGCCCTTGGGAGCCTTGGTGTCCAGAGACTTGTACGTTGCCGCTCGCTCTTGGGAGCCGTGGTGCTGAGAATTGTTTACGTCATCGCTCGCTCTTTGGAGCCTTGGTGTTGCGAGGTTGTCACGTCACCGTTCGCTCTTGGGAGCCTTGGTGTGAAGAGCTTGTTGCGTTACCGATCGCTCTGTTATTTTGCGTCTCTGGGGCCTTCTTGGAAATCTTTTGGGGGCCCTTCTGGACAATGTGTGGGCCCTTTTAGGCCGTCTTGGGGCACTTTTGGGCCGTCTAGGCGTTTAGGGGCGAGGACCGTCTTGGGGCTCTCTTGGCGGCCTCTTGGGGCCCTCTCGAGGGCCTCTTGGGGCCCCCTTGGAGCTCTACTGCGGCCGTCTTGGGCCGTTCGGGGGCCACCTTGGGCCGTCTTGGAGCCCGCTTGGGCAGTCATGGGGCCATCTTGGGGGCCGCTTGGGTCGTCTTGGGGCGATTTGGGGGACCTCTCGGCCTGTCTTGGACCGCGTAACAACAGAAAAGGCGGATACGCTGAACATGTACGTTTTCCAATCGGACTTTGACGATGGGTGCCACTCTGGCGTCCTCTCGGGACCCTCTCGGAGCGTCTTTGGGGCCTCTTGGGCCTGGGCCCGTCTGGGTGCCCTTCTGGACTGTTTTGGGCCTGTTTGGGGGGCCTCTGGGGCCGTCTTAGGACGATCTTTGGGGCATCTTGGGCCGTCTGGGGTCCTTCTGGAGCCGAAACAAGGAGAACCCGAAAAACCTACAAAAACCGGTGGAAATCAATGTTTTTGCCTTCATCAGGCCCTCTCGGGGGTCCTCTGGAGGGCCTCTGGATCAGTCTGGAGGCTCTCTTGGACCGTCTTGAGGCCAAGACGGTCACTACTGATCACAGGTCTTGCAAGGCCTGCGATTCCAAGCCCGTCTGACCTGCATTCCAAACCCATCTGTACAGGGTCTGCGTCCCAAATCTTACCAGAACACATGCACGTGCAGATCTGATTTCCAAACCACGGGATGTACGCGGGTCTGACTTCCAGACCAGTGCTTTCTGGCACACACGTCTCGCGGGCGGCGTTCACAGTGCAACCACAAGCCATTCGACCATTGAACGCAGGTGCACGCTCAAGCAGACCTGTTGCCTGTGGAAAGAAAGGCTGCTGAGCTGGCGGAAAGAAGGGGTGCAATGCGACTGTCCGCCTCACGAGCGCGAGCTCCCCCCGAGCACCACTTGAGGCACTCGGCGATGGCCGATACAGCATTGATTGTCATGACGACCATGATGAAAATGAAGATGAAGGCCGACACCCAGCGGCTGTGAAAATATGACTCCACAGAGGGGGTGGGGCACGTTGGTCCACCCAGTGCGAACTCTTTCGGGAGAAACAGTGACTGGTTGGCAGTGGCGGCCAGAAGCGAACTGGCATCTGCGGATTCCTTGAAAAGCTTCAGAGGCTGCGTGGCGTTCAAGAACAACAGCATGCTGGTCTGAGCCGCTTGCGACTGCTCACCATTGAAGACCGTGTCGCAGAACTGTTGTTTTGACATGACATGGTCCAGCCCCTGATCCATGATACTCTTGCAACCGTAAAGGAGAGACCCTCCAGCACCGTAGCACGTGGCGTACGCCCCAGACACCCAAAGCCAGTCTATCGGATCCAGTGGATCATCTGAGTCGGGAGACTTCCTGCCAACCTTCACCAGGGCCCATTTCACACAATTCCCCATAAGACTGTTCTTGAGGGCATGAACCACTTTTGCGCAACTGATCGACTCAAGTTGGGGGGTCATGAGGTCGAGCACATTTTCGCATGAGCATGAGATCCAGGACCCTTCGGACTTCAAGGCACACGCCTGGAACAGGAACACCAAGAAGCATGAGCGCGGAAACATCAATGCAAACAAGAATCGCAAGACGAAATCGTAGACGCCAATGCAGCACGGCCACAACTGCTTGAGCTAAAGTAGCTTGAGCCAAAATGGCTACGGAGAGGCCATCTGAAGCTCTCTTGGGGCAATATTGGTGCTCTCATGGGCCGTTTTTGGGCCGTCTTGGGGCCTCTGGCCGTTTCTTCTTTTGAAAATATAAAGAAGCAGGCCATGGGAGGCGCCCGGGCGCCGCTTCATTTGGAAAAATATACTGGAAACGGCCCCCGGGCGGCTATTGACCGGAGAATTCCGCGCCTCCCCCATCCCTCGATCTGCACTCGCCCTAGGGAGGCGCAAACAACCAACTCAACGTACATTGCTCGTACCTCGCTCTTTCCGTCACCTGGGCCGGCACGGAAGCGGAACGAGCGGACCAGGAACTTGCCCGAGATGGCTCATGGCACCCTTCGCTCTTGGGAGCGTTGGTGGTAAGAGCTTGGTACCGAAATTATTCACACCACCGTTCGTACTGGGAGCCTTGGCGTTGAGAGCTTGGTACGTCACCGCTCGCTCTTGGGAGCCTTGTTGTTCAGAGACTTTTGCATTGCGGCTCGGTCTTGGGAGCCTTGGTGTGACGAGCTTTGTACGTCACCCCGCTCTGGGGAGTCTTGTTGTCAAGAGCTTGTTACGTCACCGCTCGCTGATGTGAGCCATGGTGTTCTCGAGCGTCTCTTGAGCCTCGTCGGGGTCTTCTTGGGGCCCTTGTGGAGCCCTTTGGGAGCCCTTGTGGGGCAATCATGGGGCCGTCTTGGGGTCCTTATGGGCCGTCTTGGAGAGTCTTGAAAGCCTTTGGCCGTCTTCGGGCCGTCTTGGGGCTCTCTTGGGGCCGTCTTGGGGCCCTCTTGGGCAGTCTTGGAGCCCTTTTGGGCTGTTGGGCCCCTCTGGGGCCGTCGTGTGGCCCTCTTGGACCGTTTTCGGGTCCTTTCGGGGGTCTCTAGGGCGGGCTTGGGACAATCTTTGGAGCCTCTTGGGCCGTTTTCGACCGTTGTTGGCCTGAAAAAGCAAACCCCACAACCTACAGAAACCATGGACAAATCAATGTTTTTTGGCCCCTGATGAAGCCTCTGAAGGGCCTTTGGAACCGTCTTGGGGCTCTCTTGGGCCGTCTGGAAGCCATCTGAGGCTCTCTTGGGGCTGTCTTGGTGCCCTCTTGAACCGTTTAGGGGCCCTCTTGGGCCGTCTTGGAGCCCTTGGGCCACGTCATTCGAACAAAAAAACAACAAGAAACAGGCTATGAGAGCCGCCCGGGAGCCGCTTCACGGGAAAAATACAAGGAAAGCTGGCCATTACATCCTGGTCGCGCGCGCCTCGTCCCTCGCCTGGACCCCTCCCTTAAGGGCTTCGCCTCACCAAATCCGCCGACCCTGTCGGCGTGTGTGGGGTGTCTGTCCAGTCCCGTCGACGGGGAGCCTTCTTTCGTCCCCTCCTTCCCATCCTCCTCTCCCGTCGGGTGAGAGCGACAAAGAGAGAGAGAGAGAGAGAGAGAGAGAGAGAGAGCACCCTTCCTCGTCTGGGGAACGGGTTCGCAGCTTGAGGGAATTCCATCCACGTCCTCGTTACGTCAGATGAAAGCCCCTTCCCTTTGTCCCTTCCCAGACGGGGAGGGGGGTCCAGGGGGGAGGGTCAGATTCGCATCGCCTCTGGGGGTCCTGCTCTCCCATGCCGGTCCTTCTCCGGCGCGCCGGTCCTCCTCGGGTCCCCAGGCGGGGAGGAGTCCTGGGGGGGGAGGGGAGTCAGATACGCATCCGTCCCTGGGGGTCCTCCTCCCCCTCCCCTCCCCTCTCCCACGCCGGTCATCCTCTGGTCCTCCTCCCCAGGGGGGGGGCTCAGGGGGGGAGTCCTTTTCCTCCTCCTTCTCCTCCTCCTCCTCCTCCTCTTTATCTCCGCCTCCTCCTCCTCCTCCTTCTCCTCTTCCTCCTCCTCCTCCTGGTCGTCGTCGATGTCTTTCAGAGTCGGCGGCGCTGGCCGTCAGGCCTTCACAATAACGTACATCACTCATACCTTGCTCTTTCCGTCACCTGGGCCGGCACAAGAACGGAAAGAGCGGACCAGGAACTTGCCCGAGATGGCTCATGGCACCCTTCACTCTTGGGAGCCTTGGTGGTAAGAGCTTGTTACGTCACCGCTCGCTCTTGGGAGCCTTGTTGTTCAGAGATGTTTACGTTGCCGCTCGCTCTTGGGAACCGTGGTGCTGAGAGTTGTTTACGTCACCACCGCTCTTTGGAGCCTTGGTGTTGCGAATTTGTCATGTCACCGATCACTGTTGGGAGCCTTGGTGTGAAGAGCTTGTTGCGTTACCGATCGCTCTGTTATTTTGCGTTTCTGGGCCTTCTTGGGGAGCTTTTTGGGGTATGGGGCCCTGTTGGGCAGTTTTGGAGCCCTGGGCCGTCTTGTGGTGTCTTGAAGGCCTTGGACCGTTTTGGGGCTTTCTTGGCGGCCTCTTGGGGGCCCTCTCGGAAGCCTCTTGAGGGCACCCTTGAGCTCTACTGCGGCCGTCTGGAGGCCCTCTTGAGCTGTCTTGGGGCCCTCTTGGGCCGTCATGGGGCCCGCTTGGGTCGCCTTAGGGCGATTTGGGGGGCCTCTTGGCCTGTCTTGGACCGCGTAACAACAGAAAAGGCGGATATGCTGAATATGTACGTTTTCCCATAAGAATTTGACGATTTGTGCCTCTTTGGCGTCCTCTCGGGACCCGCTCGTAGCGTCTTTGGAGCCCCTTGGACCGCCCAGGAGCCACCTTCGAGCGTCAATAGGGAATCTTGAACCGTTTCGGGACAAACTGATGCCGTCTTTGGGCCCTCTTGGGCCGTCTGCGGGCCCTCTTGGACCGTTTTCGGCCCCTTTGGGAAGCCTCTGGGGCCGTCTCCAGCGTCTCGAGACTTTCTTGGACCGTTTGGAAGCCTTCAGAGGCTCTCTTGGGGCCGTCTTGGTGCCCTCTGGGGCCGTTTTGGGGCCCTCTTGGGCCGTCTTGGGGCCCTCTGGCCGCTTCGCTCGAACAACTACAAAGAAACAAGCCATGGCAGCCGCCCGGGAGCCGCTTCACTCGAAAACATACCACAAAAACTTGCCATTACCACCCGGTCGCGCGCGCCTCGCCCCTCCCCTGGACCTCTCCCTTCAGGGCTTCGCCCCACCAAATAACGTACATCACTCGTACCTTGCTCTTTCTGTCAGCTGCTTGCCACGGGGACGGAAAGCGCAACTTACCTGGTGATGGTGCGAGATCGCTGGCTTGTCCGTCTTTCCTCCTCTTACGTCCCTCTCTTCCTCTCGCCCTTGTCGCATCCTTGGGGAGACCTGGGTCACTCTTGGGCAATCTTGGGAGACACTCGGGCTGTCGTCGGGACCTCTTGAGCCGTACGTAGGCCCTTCAAGAAAGATTGCAAGACGACGTTCGAAACACTATCTGAAGCATGCGAAATTGGAAATTCATCATTTGTTCAAGGGCATCCGCGGCGCTGCCGTTTGAACCCGCCTAGCCATTTCAATCCGCCTGGCCTTGTCGACCCGCCTGTGCCTTTGAACCCGCCTGGCCGTTTCGACCCGAATGTGTGCTTCAGACCGCATGGTCATTACGACCGCGTGACTGTGTTCATCGGCGTGGCCCTCGCTGGCTTGACCCGCCTGGTCGATTCGATTTAACCCGCTTGGCCGTTGTAACCCGCCGGGCCTTTTTGAGCCGCCTTGGCGATTCGACTCACCTGGCCGTTCCTTAATCGCTAAGGCGCCTTAACTCGCCAAACAATTTTAGCTCGCCTGGCCGTTTGAGCCCGCCTGGCCGTTTCAACCCACGGTGGCGCTTTAACCCACCTGGCCGTTTTAACCCGCCTGGTCGCGTTCGCCCGCCTGGCCGTTTGAACCCGCTTGGTCGATTGAACCCGCTTGTCCGCGTTCATCTGCCTGGCCGTTTCAGCCCGCCTCGCCGTTTTTACCCGCTTGGCTGCGCTGACAGCCTCGGCCATCTGAACCCCCAAGCAATATTGACTTGCCTGGCCATTTTCACCCGCCTCGCCATTTCAACCTGCCTGGCCGTTGGAACTGGACTAAACCGTGTTAACCCGGCTAGACGTTTGAACCCGCCTGGCCGTGTCAACCCGGTAGGCCAGCCTCGCTGGCCGTAATGGAGCGATTCCAAGATGACGTCGGCAGTATCTCATGTCTGTCAGAATGCCCCCCCGCAAAAATCGCCATTTGGGACAAGAGCGCTGCCAAGATGATGTCGACGACATCTGTTTTTGTTGAGGATGTCCCTAGCTTAACCTCCATTTGAGGCAAGACCGAGATCAAGACGACGCCGACTACATCTCCTGTTTGTGAGGATGTCCCTAGCAAAATAGCAATGTTGGGCAAGAGCGATGTCGGCAACATCTGATTTGTGCGAGGTTGTCAAGAGCAATGTTGGCAACATCTCGTGTGTGTCCCAATCGAACTCGCATTTTGGGGGCAGAAGTAAGGCGCCTTTGAACCATACTTCTGGGCTATGTTGGGCCGTCCTGAGGCCTTCCGAGAGCGATGCCAAGGCACCTCAGCTTTTTGAGGATGTCTTTAGCGAAATCGCCATTTGGGCCATCAAATCTCTGGAACTACTTGCCGCCCCCCTCAAACTCATCCTAGTCTTACCCATCGGTCGGAAGAAGTAGGTAGATATATGAAGTAGGAAGGCGTCGAAAGTAGATTGCGTGTCCGTCCGCCCCCGGTGAAGCCACTCGATCATTGAAGTAGGAAGGCGCTTGAAATAGATTGGAATCTGGGCCTCCAAAAATACCTGCTTTCAACGACCGATTGGTATTTCTTCTTGCTAACAGATCGCACGCTGAGCGCGATCCCCGCCACATGGAACCAGGGCCAGATCACTGCCTGCGGGCCTGGCTGTGCCCAGCGGCCAGGGCGTCCAGGCGGAGATGGGATGAGGGAGAAGAAGAGAGGAGAGAAGGAGGCGGAGGAGGCGCAGGGGGAGATGGAGGACG